CCTCAACTTGCTCAAGGATGTCCAAGAGTTGACCAGACAAACTCCCTCATAAAGCAATGACCCTCCCACTAGGGTTTCCATTTTCATCAAGATGGGTGAACTCCAAAGGTCTCAAACCTTTTCCATTGTCCTAATATGTTCTCAAGACCATCCATTCCAAGTTTCATGCCTTGCATAAGAAGTTTGCTCAATCAATTGCTCAAATGCCTGAAATCAACTGTATTAGGTCAAAAGTCAACTATGGCCCACATCCAGTCAAACTTCAAGATTTTTGGTCAACATCAACATTTTGAAGTGATATCCATCATTTTATCAAGTGTAGATCATGATTCCCCAAGGAATGCTCCTAATTCATCAAAACTCAAAAGTTGCTAAATTAGGGTTTCTTAGGAAAAGTCAACCAAACTTTGACTAAGCATAACTTTCTCATATTTTATCAGAAATTTCTCATCCAAGGCTCATTTTGAAGAGAATTCAATTCCCTACAACTCATATTCATCCCTCAAATTCAAGAAATGCACTCATGAAAAGATATGTATTCATACATTATAGGTCATTCCAAAAAGTCAACAAAAACACCTTTTGGGTTAGAGCTTCTTACATGAACATGGAGGATCCAATTGAGATGAAACCAAAAGGGTTGATTAGGGGACATCCTAAGCTTTCTAAAAAGTCCAAGAACACCCTCTTAGGGTCAAAATTGAAGGATATATGCATTGTCAATGTTGGTTATTTTTGGAAAATTGTCAAAAGTCAACAATGCTCAAAACTACATTTTTTTCTCAAATGGGCTAAACTTTTTATGTTTGAAACACATTCCTAACATGGTCCACGACCCATAAACCCTCCCATACATCATTTGCTTATTTATTTGATTTATTTTGATTTTTAATCATTTAAAATCCAAATTAAATCAAATAAATGATATAAAAATATTTTGGGATGATTTTGCATTAAAGAATGAAGATACATGTTGTATGTTAGCAAGCAAAGCGTGCAAGGTTTGATTGAATTAAAAAAAGGCATGATTTGGAAAATTTTGGAAACAAAGAATATGACTTGAAAATCAAATATCTTGCTCATCAATTTCCAAGATTGAATCCAAAATTATTAACCTATTTTATTCATATACATATAACTGGACATATGGAACCCTAAGGCAGAGATTAGAGAGGCGCAGCTGGGTGAAAAGCATCAGAACAACATTGAGTTTTTTGGAAAAAAAGTGAGGATCGAATTTCATTCCACAAGACCATTCAAGGTGCTTAGAAGCCAGAAATCAATTATTGGGTGTGTAGTGAAGCTATCCCAATCATCTCCAAGCCATAAAGCGCCCAGAATCGCAAGGTACATGACTGGTTTTTCCCGTTTCTTTTTTATTCCTGATTACATGCGTACGCACGTTTTCATTGAAATTTAATTATACATTCATGTTTGTTATAAGGTTTTGATGCTACCTGAATGCTCTAATTGACTTTTGAGTGTAGGGATGGAAGGTTGTCATTCTTAGGGTTTCCAAGCTCATTTTGGGGCTTCCCTATATAGAAAAAATTAGACCAAATCGTGGGCACCATTAAACTCAGGGCACGATTTCTGACTGTCCTTTGCCTTTAGTTAAAATTTATTTGGCTTGTATTACATTTTCAATTGTTGCAGGTTTGTAGCTATGGACAAAAAATGTCACTATAGCCCTAAGAAGTATGAGAAGATCATATGCTTCTAAAGATGTTAGAGGTTTTGGTAAGTCTTCTATCAATAATACTGATAAAGATAGGATCGATGATGACATAAAAAGAAGTATGAGAAGAAACACCTTATTGGACCTGTTACTGTTGATGAAAACCTATCTTAAGATGAGAGTGGTAATCTTCATATGGAACATAGGAAATTTAAGACAAGAGTGTTGAGAGAAGTGGGTGTAGATGTCTAGTAAGATGCTATAACATCTAAAGAAATATGTACTACGGAGAAATTTAAGGGGAGGATTGAAGAATTTAACCCTGAGCAAGTTACTCGTGAGAGACGCAGCAAGAAAAAGGTTGATGTTATGGTCAGAGATGTGATTGAGGTTGACAACTTAGAATATTATGAGGAACCTATTATCAAAATGTTGGCTCTAGGAATAGCCAACAGACTCAAAAACAGGAAAGGAAAGGATGTGGTGATGGGTTGCTCTCCTACTATAAAGGATCAAGGAGAGGAAAATAGGAAAAAGAACAATTCTCCAAAGATTTTCAAGAGAAAAGCTTCTATTGGTCCCCTAAAGCCATGGAGTAAAGATGTTGTATCGATAAAGAAAAGGAATGCGGTTTCTTCCATTAATTTTGAATGTGATGTTGAAGAAGATGTCCAGGACATCATATCTCACAAGAAATTTGTTCGCAAGAAGTCCTGTTCTGCTGTTTAGAAGAGCCCGTCGGTGAAGAAAGCTTCCTACAAGTCTGAAGAACATGCTGAAAACTTAAATATGTTGATCAGAGAAGGGTAGCATTGGAGAGAGAACTCATAAAGGATTTTGATAAATGTCCTGACATTATGAAGTTGATAAAGGTTGCTGGCCTTATAAAAACAGTCACAAACATTGACCCTTGTTTTTTTTGCACCCTGCTACTTTAACTTTAGGTGCTTTGGTTTTTGCTAATATTGTCTACTTACCTTTGTCACATTATGGCTACAAAGGGGGAGTAGTATGATATTGAGGGTGTTGGAGTTGGCACTTGCCGAGGGGGTGAATTCTATGATTCTTTGTTTTGTGATAGCATGTATTGATTTGAGGGGGGGTTCCTGTTATTTTTGAAGAGATGTAAGACATGATGTCTTTACATCATGGTGTGAGAACATATGTGTTCTCTATTTTTGTTGCGGCGATGTTAGTATATATACTAACTACTAACAATTTGATGTGTGTGTGCTGTTAATTTTTGTGCTGCTAACCTTGAATATGTTTTTTCCACTGTTGTAACTCTAATTTATTGTTCAAGGGTTATTTAAGTTTTTTAGCCAAAATGTGCCAAAGGGGGAGATTTTTATTTCTCTAAATTTGTGATTGGCAGTTGTGGATTAGCTGATTTTTAGCTATTGAATATTCAGGGAATATTCAGTTAGCTTATGCGGCATCTAAGGTTGACAAAACAAAATATTCTTTGTTTGTGTTTAAAGATTTGATTAGTATTTAAATATGGAGACGTTTTTGGAAACTAATTATTGAAGACCTATTTTATTGGAGGAGTTTTTGCAGACTTTGTGCAGCCTCATTGCTGCGATTTTGAAGCCCAAACCAGTCAAAAATAAATTTTTAAATAGACTGGTGTATACCTAGATTTAGGTGGAACTTATGGATGTATTTGTGTTAGGGTTTTTGGAATCCTTATCGTTGGGTTGTAAGTTCTCTGTTACATGTTCATAAGCTTTTAAGCATCAAACATATTGTGTGTCAATTCTCATAAGGTTTTAAGCATTGAGCCTTGCGTGTTTTTGGTAGTATAGCTTCTAGTTATTTTTATTCTCTAGTCGTGTTTAGAGTTGCTCAAATTACTGAGTGTAATTGAAGAGGGATTTGAGGAGAAGTTAAGAAAAGGGTATTGATTAAGTGTCTAGGCTGTAAATTGGAGGTTTGCTGTGAGGTCTAAAAATTGATACTATCTAGTTAATTTTGTCTCTGGCTTGGTAGCCCCTAGAGTAGGAAAGTTGTTCTGAATTGGGTAAACATATCCTGTGTTATTTACTTTCAGCATTGTTATATTTTGTTTATACATCTTGCCGTTGTGTGTGAAATCGAATTTGGTGTCTCGATATCTCTTAGGACATTCGAGATCTGATAGCCATAATTTCACAACATATTATACAAATCATCATAAACCCCAACAAATCCCTAAATACCTCTAAACCCCATATCAATTATAATGACAAATCACCCCTTTTACCTTAGATTCCTAGCTTTGATCTTTCCTCTTCGCGATCTACCGAAATTTCCTCTATGTTCTTTGCGCCCTAGATTTTTCTCTTTTCTTCCAATGTTTTTACGATCGCACAAATGAAACACTCTTTTCCATCTATTCCTTGTTTAACCTTAGGACCCCTAATATGTTTTGCCTAATTTGTCCTCACTCAACATTTCGTCAATAACCACCTGGCCCTTATCTCCTCTACACCAATTATTCTTTTATTTTATTATAAATCATAATTCTAACTAATTTTATATAATTATCAACTAATTATCTAAATTACTAAAATATTCCTTACTCATCTAAATTCCTATCATTCTACAACATAGCATCACATCACACATCACACTCAACAAAACATCACATATTCATCAATAATTCACGAATATTTCTAATAACTCATTTAAATAAATATCCAATAAAATTGTCGAGCTCTGCCTTGTGGAAGTTTCTAAAGCCCAAGGAATCTACCTTTAGCGCCACAAAGGTAACTCACGCAGATAGGTACAATGATAAAAAAAAAAAGAAGGGAGATAATCACCATTATCTAAAAAAATTAAAAAACATCGTGAATATAGGGAAACTATAACCTATTTTCAATCAATAAGCATTATTCTTTCAAAGAAAAACCATGAGAAAAATACACAATTCCTATGTGACAGGCTCATCACTAAGAACTATCACTTTCCTATCTATTATCTATTGCTCAGGGGAAATTTTCTCCATGAATATTTGCATTTAGAGATGGAAATTTTCACATGCTTCAAGGAGTTATAGAAAGCCATTTTCCTAATAGAATAAATAATTCAATGACATTAACATATTCTTTAGACATGTGATTATTCTAAAAGTGCATCGCTTAAATACCATCTTGAAATTTCTCCAAACTTTCCCATGTATCACCCAAGGACTTATCTAACTTTGTTATCATATTGTGAGAAAGATCAAAATATATTTTCATGTTGATTAGATAAGTTTATATATAGAACAACACCTTCCAAACATATGTTAAGATGATATACGCGTCTCCTTAGATATTGTTCAGACCATTGTCCCATGGTCCTCTATTATTCCACTAACATTGTTTACAGACAAAGGAGACTAAAAGATACTAGGAACAAATACAAGAAAATTTGGAGCACTAATACAGAAAGGAATAATATTGTTAAAAATATGTGGAACAATACTGAAGGCAGCTATGATAGAAAACTCCAGGAAACTCTAACAACTATATCCAAGTGGGGAAAAGAAAAATTTGTAGACATACCCAAAGTTAGTAAAAGGGCCCAAGCCAAACTGGATAAGATTAGAAACCTTAAAGCAACTACAGAGAACATTCATCTCATCATTGAGGTGGAGAAAGCTCTTGACGATGCGCTTAAGAACAAAGAATTATGGTGGAGCCAAAGAGCTAAACTATCCTTGCTCAAAGAAGGGACATAAACACTGCCTATTTCCACCACAAGGCTAACAAGAGAAAGAAGCGGAACAACATATCCCAGATCTTGGGTGGAGGAATCTAACTCAATCAATCCATACTAGAAGTGCCCTTGGAAACGAGGGATACAATTTCCCCATCTTTTGCCCTTATTGCCTTGTTCATGAAGAAACCTTGGACTATGCTCTCTTAAGATGTGATAGGGATAACAAAATATGGTTCGGATCTAACATCTCCATTAATTTTAATCATACCAAGGATACTAAAGCTATTGATTGGTTATGCTTCATAATCAATAAGACACACAAAAGCACTATAGCAGAAGTTTTGACCATAACGTACTGTATTTGGTGGACCAGGAATAAAGAATCCATGGTAAACAAGGATATTCCCATAAAAGACACTATTGAACTGTGGTTAAAATACAGATTTTGGAGGGTACCAACTATGATAGTTGGAAACTTCGTATGAAAACCTTCATAAAATCCTGGGGTGACAAGGCCTGGAGAAATGTTATTAAAGGATAGGATCCTCCAAAGGTTTTGGATGCAGAAGGGAAGGCCAATGATGTGTTGAAACCTGAAGAAGAATGGAATGATGTTGATGAGCTATCAGCTCAAGGAAACTCCAAATCATTAAATGCCATATTCAATGGAGTGGATAAGAATAAACCGCTAAATATCAAGGATGAGCACCACCATAAGCATTCTGCAAATACAGTTGATCAAACTGAGCATCTCAATACAAAAGGTGAAAACAAGATTAGGGAAGACAACCAAAATACCTTTCATATTAGCAGTCTTCACCACCAGATAAGAAATACGTAATGTGACAACATAAACATCAGAAGCAAAGTGAAGGAAACTCCAACACCATCACTACCAAAGGTAATCAACAGATCCAGGAGAAGAAGCAACATTCTAGACATAAGCAGAAGGAGAAAATAAGGCAACACAAAGATAATTCCAATAGAACTCAGGCAGGAGCTATGAACACAAGCAACCAGAAGACGGACCCTACAAATAACAAAGAGAACATGGATATCGGGACTCAAAATGCAAACAAAAACAATACTCAGAAGGTTCGTTAAAGCAAAGGCAACAAGGAAAAGGATCAGATACTCATCTACATTGTTGCAAATCTAGCCATAGATGGTAAATGGAACTTGGGTGCTATGTTCCATAACGACAATGACGACATGGTAGCGGAGACTGCGTGGAACCAAAAGGGAAACAAAAGTCCCATTAAAGCGAAAGCTCAAACTATCCAAAATACTTTATCTGTAGCCAGAATCATAAGATTGAGACAAATCAAAATATACATTGATTATGAGAGATTAATTACAGAGGTGAAGAACAGTAGCAATAACAGTGCAATCACACGAATAGGAAGTATTGTAACAATTGAGACATGTCTAACAAACCCTAAAAAGATTCGAAGAAAGCAACGTTATTCACATACTACGGGCCATGAACCATTATGCCCACAAAAAGGCCCAACAAAACTATTACTACTAAAACACACTTCATCATATATAAGCCCAACATTAATATAATCAAAGATTTTAAGACTATCTTCAAGTAATAATTTAGTTTTTCTGTTTAAAAAAAATGTTTATAATAATTTTAAAACAAATACATCCTCTAACTTTGCAACAAAATTAAGGACACCTTTTTCATTTCTAAATTTTTTCGTTGGCTAAATTGAATTAGCCAATTATATATTTTTTATATGATACATAAATAAATTAATATCATGGCTATCATTGTTTCTCTTCATTTAGACAAGCTATTTCTATAAACAAAATAATATTTGTTTTTCCATATAAACAAAACAAACTTGTATAATGTTGATTACAAGAAAATTGATCTTTCGTGATACTTCTTATATATCATTAAAAGTTAAATATATATAGGTAAAAGTTTGTAAAATATTTAGTGGCACATCTTTTTAATGTCAATTATAAAGGAGCGTAGTGTGACACTAAATTGAATATCATTATAAATTTTAGCTACAAACATTATCTATAATTAGTATAAGTACTAAAATTTATATCAATGGTTATGTAGGAGTCACTAAAACTTATATAAATAATATTTTTATTTTAAAATTTTATTTTATAAATATACTTTTTTCTTTTAAAATGCAATAAATTTTAAATTTTATTTTTTAATATTATTAAAATAAAATTATTCATTAAAAATATTTTACAATACATTTTCAACCAACCATGTTAAAACTAAATAACTAAAATTCATATTATGTAAATTAGAACTACTTAAAAAAAAACATTATATATTTTAAATTTTACAATCCAACTTTCATGTTCTTAAAACATGTCTCTAAAGCTCGTTCAAAAAATAATAATCTTTATGGAAACAGAATGAACACCTAAATGTTGAGTCGGAGATTTTGAACTTATGAGAATCATCTTTCAACTCACTTTAATATCTACGTTCGTAACACTCCAAATCAGAATCACGAGTACATTTAGATTTTCGATATATCTGAAAACAATACTAATAAAATCAACTTTAAAGAAAGAGCAACATAAATAACTAGAATAACTAAATATAATGAGTAAAAACTAGATGATTTGATTATTAAAAGTTGACTCAAGTCAACTTAATAAATAGAATATGTATCAGGTGTTTATACTTTTGTTGAGATGTGTTGATAGTAGGGGTTTTATCTTGAGAGATCAATACTCGATTTCCAATAGGGGGGGTGTCAAGCTCGCGGCGTTGTTGGAGGTCGCACGCCGTTGAGTCGGTTGGAGAGGCGGCTTGTTTGCGATCTTGTTTTCTGTTTTGGTTCTAAAATTTTCTGATTCATGTTCTTTTATTTTCTTTTGTAGGTGATGGCACTTTACTTAGGTTGGAACATGTTATCGATGTGCCATAAAACAAAGTGATAAAAATAGAGATTCGTGTGAAGTTGTGAATGATATATTTGTGAATTTGGTTTTGGTTCTATATGCAAGTTATGTAAATGGTTATTGGCGATTTGGAACAAACATAATTTTTAATGATTCAAAATGGTTTTGGTTCTATAACTGTTTTGGTTATTGGCATGCTATGTTCCATTGAATGAATTACTAGACAAATCAAACACTTTGCCAATGATTCAAAATGAAAATAGAATAGAGGAATAATCGACTTTAAGTTGCAGATCTAGTTTTATGTTGTGGGAATGGAAAATGTATATAATATATAAAATTCATGAGCAAACATAACAAATCAATTAGTATTGTACAGTGGTAAGTGAAAAAACATGTGTTTGACTCAAAATATACAGATGATAACATAAGAGGGTTTTACTCCCTTTATATGAATCTATACATGACCCAACTTGGATAAGTTAGGATCCATGGTGATTTGTGGATACTAATTGTCTAGTTTATATAAAAAATTATTATGGCAAAATATGCTAAGATGATTACATTATAGCCTGGTAATAAACTTTGACGTGTTTGCATATTACTCGATTCAGAAATTTGTGCATGTGTATGGCAGAAAGTACCCTTGTAAGCCTCTACTAGAGTTTGAACCACCATATGAGAATCCAGATCATTTTTAATTTGATTTGAGTGAATGAGTATGTTGTTATTCCTAGTGTGATTTAAGTTGAATAGTTGTTTTTTAAATTGAAATTAGTTACAAAATTAGTTTGTATTAAAATTATTGTAGCTAATCTCACATTTTTTAAAAGACGAATAAGAATAACGAAAATCTAGAAAATATGATCGAGGATTTATGACGAATTTTGAATATTGAAGATTAAACGATATTTGTAATGAATAGTTATAATTAACATGATCGATTTTAAAGATTTAAGATTTAACCGCAACAATGAAGAGTGAAATATTGATTCTTGATGATGAAAATGAAAGTATTGTAGTCCGCAATAAATAGAGAAGGATCGATTAATTCTCGAAAATGAAGAGCGAAAGATCGATTCATTCTCGATGATAAAGAGGGAAAGATCAAATTAAATTGAAGCAAAGAATCTAAAAGAGAGTAGTTTTCCTTAGTACAAAAGTAATTTTGCATAAAAAGTATAAAAAAAAAAAACTAAATTAATAAGTTAAAATAGAAAAGTAAAGTTAAAAGGGTAATATTTCGTAAAAAAACAATTAAGATAAAGTTAAAAAGTAGATTTAGTATAAAAATTAAATATAAAATTAACTTTATGATCCAATTAAATCTGTTAGTATAAAGTGATTAAAAAAATATTTTTGTATAAGAAGAAAAGGTGATGAACTAAATTAAATAAAACTATAAGTAAAAGTCATATTTAGTGACATATAATAAAACATCATAAAAAAGGAGTGTCACAAGAAACCATTTATCTTGTAGTGGTTCCAAAGTTGAAAGAAATTTGTAAAAAAGTTCAAAATAAATGATATCCACACAATAATAGTAGCAATACTTGTTTTCATATAAACAAAACAAATTTGCATACGGTTCCAAAGTTTTATCTCAACCATTGGTTAAAGTCAAAGAAACCAATGGTAAAAATTCAAAAATGTTACCAAGTCTTTGGCAAACCAAATATAGCAAACTCCATAATTAACATACACAAACGATTTGGATCAAGGCTCTTGCATGCTACTATATAAGACATGGAAGTACCCTTTGTTATTCATCTCAAGGGGAATAAAAATCACCACAATAAATAAACATAAAAAAAAATCAATAAAATTATAAATAAAAAATAAAAAATGACAAGATCATTCGCCATAGTTGCTCTCATTGTCTCCGCTTTCTGCTTCTCATCGGTCTTGGCTGCCCGTAAGGTACCGGCTGATTGTCGTGAAGTTTTCACCGTTATTGGCAAGATTTATTGCGATCCTTGCCACTTTGAATTTGAATCAAGGCTTAGCAAGCCTCTTGTCGGTACAAATTTCTATCTCTATTTTTATTTTTTAAAATTTATTTTAAATTTGAGATGATTTTGATTAAAAAGTTGGCTAATTTTTTTATCGCTCTAAGTAAAATTTTGAATTTGAATTATCTGAGCTTAATTGTTTCTGTGTGCAGGTGTTAAGGTGACATTGAGATGCGCAAAGGAAGAGGGTAAAAATGTGACATACGTGAAGGAGGCTAAGACCGACAAAAATGGTGTCTACAAAATCACAGTTAATGGCGATCACGAGGAAGAAGTTTGCGAGGTGAATTCCGATTCAAATGGAAAGGGTGAATGTAATTTGCCTATGGCAAACAAATCCGACAGGATTGGTCTCAACAAGAATATGGGTGTGTCTTCCTTGGTTCGTTTAGTTAATCCCCTTGGGTTCATGACTAAGGCAATTGATAGCCAGTGTGAAAAGGTTATCTCTGAGTTGGGTTTGGACAACCTTGATGATTAGATAATCTATCAACTTATTCATTATTCCTACTCGAAAAAAAAATTAAAATTTAGAAAAAACCATGTAATATGGTTAATTTATTAAGGCTCAATTGACCCGTATCATCAATATATAAATCATTTTTTCTCTGCAAAAATGTGTTACTGGTTATTTGTAACTATTCAAACACATGATTTATTGAATATTGAATGAGAATTTGGAGAATTTTGGACAAGAAAAAAGAAACAACTTCCAAGAAAAATTCATATTGACTTATCCTCGAATTCAAAGATAACGAAAAGATAGGTGAGACTCGGAATAAGATTTTCTCTCTCTTGATCACCACAACTTTGACCACTTTTGACGTCTCAAGAAACCTCATTGATAAAGAAAACTCGGGTTACATCATGTATGCCAAACACTTTGAAAAATTAGCATATAAGAAAGTTATATAATGGACCTATATACTAATAGGGATGAAGTTGATGATCTTATTAACAACTTTTCTAATATTTTAAAGACAATAATATTAGCACTACAAAAACGTTCAAATTGTAGTGGTTATTTTGAAGAATTTCTAAAGAAACCCTTCAAATTATTTTCTTCCATGGGTATAGATAAATGGTATAGTAGGTTCAGGATTGGCCTAATTTTCTTCCATTATTTTGCTTACATTTTTCAGGAGCAGAGCGACTATTTTTTTTATAGATAAGAGTCATGCGCAACAGAATCTAAATTTTGTATAGCTAACCATTTTAAACTTTTGGCATAATTATTTTAAGAAGTTTCAATACATGCACAAATTTTCATAGGCAGTTACAAATAACATGGTTTAACGGTTAATATAACATTGCTATATACGTCATGTAGTTGTTGGTTACAAAGAGATGAGATATAGGTTGAGCCATATGTTAAGTCGTTGTCTTTAAAGAAATTGTGTCACTATTCAAATGTTCATGCTTTTTTTAAACATATTTCTTTGTTTTCACCTCTCACCAGGTAACCATAAAATATGTTGTTAAACTTTGAACTAAGCATGGTTATGGAAGGAGAATAAGGAAGAGGAAGAAGATTAGAAACTTTTTTTTATACATTACTCACAATACTAACTATTGCAATGATACACTATGCCTTATACACCAATGAGCTAGTGCACAATGATAATTGTTTGTAAATGTCAAAGCTAAAACAATTGGAGTTAGTTACATGGAGTAATTAACTCTCATTCTCTGTGCCATTCAACAACCCTCTCGAGCTGGAATGAATGTCAATTATTCCGAGCTTGCTAAGTAAGGTGTAGAAGGGACTAGGATGTAGAGATTTTGTGAGTATGTCGGTCACTTGTTCCTTTGAAGTGACAGACATCAAATTAATTGCGCCTGCTAGAATTTTGTCTCGAACAACATGAAAATCTATTTCTATGTGTTTTTTCTTTTCATAAAAAAATGGATTCGCAGTAATGCAAGGATGAGGCGTTGTCACAATAGATGATGAAAGGCATATCGTGTTGTAGTTGAAAATACTTGAGCAAATATAAAAGCCATTGACCTTCACATGTGGCTTAGGCCAAAGCTCGATATTCTGCCTTAGATGAGGATCTGGATACAACATTCAGCTTCTTGCTTTTCCAGCTGACAAGAGACGTGCCTAGGAAGAAACATATGCCTGAAGTGCATCTTCGAGTGTCAGAACAAGTGCTCCAATCAGAATCTGAAAAATCTTTGAGACATAAATTTGATGAGGAGCTGAAGAACATTCCTTGGCCTGGGTGATTTTTTAGGAATCGAAGCACGTGGAGGGCTGCCATGATGTGCTTATCAGTGGGAGCATCAAGAAATTGGCTAAGCTTGTTGACTGCATAGGCAATTTCAGGTTTGGAGTGAGTGAGATATAGAAATATCTCAATCAGGCGCCTATAAGTTGTAGGTTCTAACATGGATTGACCATAGGCTTCGTGGAATTGTAAATGTGGTTGCATTGGTGTGTTACATGGTTTTGATTACACAAGGATTTGATTATGAAGTTCGTCAATCGTCCTCGCTATGGTTACGTCTCCCTCCAATTCCATTTTGGAATTGAGATAAATTTCTTACTTTGCAAAAAGTTGATTACAAGGGAAGTGTTCCAAGAGCAACCCTACAAACCCTAACCATTTGATGTTGATTCAACCCCTTCTCTTCTTTTGATCTTGTACAAGACCAAGACACAATAAATCTAATTGATTCATAGTATCATGATACTCCTTTACAAGATCCTCAATCTTCATAGCTTTCACTCGATCGAATCTAATTGCAAACTATTGACTACAAGAACTTCCAATATAATTCACCGTCTCACGCTACTCATTTGCAAGTTCTCCAATCTTTAAAGCTTTCACTCGGACGAATCCACTAATGTGAAGTCTTGAACAAAACCCAAAAATCAACAAAAGATCTTGGAGGATAAACCCTTGGTTTTTCTGGATGAAACCCCTCCACAATTCTCAACCCAATATTCTCATTTCGTTCACGCTCAATAACCTAATTGGACGTTATCAACCTCGTCTAGATGGAACCCCAACAAAGAATGATTATGTGTAACTTGTTAGTATGTATGCATAGGCTTGAGGTTGAAGATGAATAGAAATGGTGGTAAGTATTTATGGTTTTATGGTTTCATCAAGTTGAAATGATGCATGAATGATGTATTTATAGTTGAGGAATTATGGTGGTAAAGAGGCAAACTTTGGAATTTTAAAAAAATATAAAAATTGACCAAACAAATAGGATGTGCCAGCATATATGAGTTATGTGTCGACACATGATGATAAAAATTGACACATGTGCCGACCTGAAATGAGCCATGTGCCAACACATGAGAACATATACTACAAGATTTAATAATGCAACACATGTGTCAATCTAAAAATCGTATCTGCTGGAACATACTGTTATTTTTCATAATGTTCCGACCTAAAATTGTTTATGTGTCGACCGGTGCTAGTCAGAGACTACAACCTTTAATAATGCAGTACATGTGTTGGTCTGAAAAGCGAATGTGCGAGCACATGCTGTTGTTTTTTGTGCGAAAATGATTTTTCATGTTTTTGGCCAAAATTAAACTTATTTTGAATGCTTCCTAATACCTCTAATACAAGGGTGCACCAAATGACATAGAGATATCATCCAATATATAAATGCTAAATTTTCCTAGTTTTGACATTATACAAAACATCTAATGGTGAAGTTGCACTCACATTCTCCCCCTTTTTAATGATGGAAACACTTGCAACGTTGCATTTCATGTCTTCATTTAAGGCCCCCTGACTTTGTGCTTCCCAACTTCATCTCGCATATAATTCTCCCCCTTTGACAATATCAAAAAGAAAGATAGAAAACCATGAGAAGTATCATGATTCAACGCAAATACTAATATATCACACAGAGGCATTTTTGCAAAGAAGAACGTGCATTAACATATCCCCGTATATAATATCGGTAAGTTGATTTTTACTATCAGCATGCTCGAATACTACATCTCTTTTTTCAACATCATCGAGAAGGAAGTGGTGATGTATTTCAATATGTTTAGTGAAAGAATGTTGGAGCGGGTTCTTGGTTAGGTTAGTCGCACTAGTGATTTCGAACATGATAGGAATACGAGAAAGATTAATGTGAAAGTCAAGTAGTCATTGCTTAAGCCATAAGATTTGGGAACAACTACAACTGGCTTCCACGTATTCCCCCGAAGTTGTTGACAAAGCTACGTTAATTTTCTTTTTACTACGCCAACTAACTAAGGAATTTGAAAATATGTGACAAGTTCCACTAGTAATTTTCCTATCTGATTTGAAACCGACAAATCAGAATCAGAGTAACCAACCAAGCTACAATCGCTTCCCTTGGAATACCAAAGCCCACACTTAAAAGTACCAATGAGGTATCTAAGAATAGGCTTAACTGTTTTTAAGTGTGATTGCTTGGAAGTCGATTGATAACGGGCACACATGTAAATACTAAACATAATATATTGCCTATATGTCGTAAGATATAGAAGAAATCCAAATCATACCTCTATATTTCTTGAAGTCTACATTCTTATCATTTTCATCTCTATCAAAATTTTCATTTGTTGCCATAAGAGTGAAAAATTTGCTTTGCATCATCCATGCTGAATCGTTTTAGCAATTTGGGATAATACTTTTCTTGACACACAAATATTCCTTCCTTGATTTGTTTTAGTTAGAGTTCGAGAAACTAATTCAACTCTCCCATGAGACTCATTTCAAACTCTCCATGCATAAGCTTAGAGAACTCCTTGAAAAGTTGCATGTTAGTTGGTCCAAAAATGATATCATCAACATAAATTTGAACAAGAAGAATATGCTTTCCTTGACATTTAATAAAGAGAGTCGTGTCTACCTTCACTCTTGCTAAGTCGCTCATACCATGCCCCAAGGGCTCGTTTGAGACCATACAAAGCGCGTTTTAGTTTGAAAACATGATAAAGATGCTCATAATTTTCAAAACTATGAGGTTGTGAAACATACACCTCTTCATTTATGTACTCGTTAAGGAACACACTTTTCATGTCCATTTGATATAATTTGAAGTTCTTGGAATATGCATATGCTACTAAAAAGGAGTATAGTCTCGAGTAGGGAAACTGGAGAACAAGTCTCCTTATAAGAAATGCCTTCCTCTTGGTTATACCCTTGAGCCACTAGTCGGGCCTTATTCCTTGTTATCACACCAATGTTCGTCAAGTTTATTCCTAAAAATCCATCTTGTGCCTATAACTTGATGATTTCGTGGACGAGGGATAAGGTCTCAAACATCATTTCTTTCAAATTAATTCAATTCTTCTTGCATGACCATAAGCCAATACTCATCAAGCAAGACATCTTTTACTAATTATAGAATACACATTGTTGCTTTCTAGGTTACATAATCCTTCTTTTTGCCACATATACAATATGATTAGGATATGTTACACATCATATGTCTTGAGCTACCGTAAATGAGAACTTATATTCTCTTCAT